GGAGGGGAAAATTTTTCAGTGCTATTCGGTCTGAAATTTTGTCCTGTAGAAGATTTGAGCAAGGTGATTGAGGTGAGGATACATTCATTCAGGTTTTGTTACTGGCTGGTTGGTGCTCAATTCCTCCTTCACTGAGCTCAGACTGAGACAAGCCTGGACTCCTGCGATGAGCTCAGCTGGAGGCTTGAGTCACCAAAAAGCTAGCTAGGTATCTGAGATGCATGTTTGGTATTGCTGAAGAGAAAACAGCTAATCAGTTAAACACTTCAAAGCAGACACTTTGCTCCCGGGTATTATGAATCCCAAGTGACTCGTCGAGTTGTGTGTTTTTCTGTTGAAGCAGCTCTATCCAAACCCATCTCATCCATTAGCTAGCAGGCTTTGCTTGCTTCCTTTGGGTGTTGTAGTTGTGTGTTTGACTTGTAAATGGCTGAAGAGTTGAATCGAGTGGAGCTGTGCTTGGGGAGCCCTGCCCAGGCAGATGATGGATTTGGAATTAATGTTTTCACACAGATTTCATAGGTGGTACTTGTGCATCTCAGCAGTGCCCCGTACATCAAGCTGATCATTTCTTTCCATGCAGAACCTTTGGGTTTAGAAGCACGGTAGATAACCATAAATGTTTCACTTACTATAAATATGTAATAATTTTTAATAATTGATGACCAGATTTTTAAGCAGACTAGATAGAGTTGCATAAAATGAAGGCTACCTTTGTGTCATGTTCTAAGCTGCATTCTAAATACTATCTGAGCTTTGCTGTGCTATCAGGATGCATGTCTGATTGGTATTTTCATTAAAAATCTTAGCACATGGGTAACAAACAGAAAAATGCACTTTTTACAATAATATCAGCAATAAATTAACATGGATGGACTTCCCTGTGGATATAAGAATTTCTGTACCTGCCAGTTTTTGTTGCGTTGACTTCTTCCCGGGTGATTTGAAAGCTGTTTTTTCAAGAGAATGTTTTTTATACACAGCACTAATGCTGCCCGTGTTTCAAGGGCTGCTTTCACCTATTTCACTGTCAATTTTTCCTAATTACCTGTGATCTCCCTGGGGTCTGAAGCCAAAAAAGCAGACAAACCCAAACAAGCATGCAGTGCTTGTCAAACTGCCAGGGCTCCTGCACCTCTACAGGCTTCCTCTGGCAGTGCTGCTCTGACTCCGGAGCCCGCAGGCTGGCAGCACCTCTCCCGGCTCTGGATGTCTCAGACACGACCGAAGAGTCCCTTTGCCAATAGGTGCCACTGTTGCTCTCCACACACGTCCGAAGTGTCAGCGTCCTTCAGCTGGAAATCCAACCTTGAGAAAGCAAACCTAAATCACAGCCACTACAATGCTGCAGGGGCAAAACCCCGAACAGACCATGGCCAGAGGCTGGTCCATGCCAAGACTAAGGTATAGGCTTTATCTTGTTCCTAAAAATAATGATATAATCGCTAATCTTGAGCAAAATTGATGAAGAGATAAATATGCATTGAATTCATTCCAGATCTATTATATCTGAGCCATTAAGTTGCTGCAAGTTCATTGTCAAGCCTCAGACCACTGGCAGCTGAACCCTGCAAAGATCTCCCCTGGACCAAAGACGGTTTAAAGGCTGAAGTTCCACATCAGAGCAATAAGATTCTGGATGTCTATCAGCACTGCTTACCTAAGTCATTCACACACTTTCTCAGTGGGGAAATCCAGCAGTATGAAGGCCACCTACAGCTATTTCTTCTAAGTTTACCGTGTGGTGACGTCAGCTCAGCTCGGATCACTCTGCAGCTTATCTGTCATTAAGTGCCACTCAGTACTTAAAGCCAAGGGCAATCAGGGTCTGCTTGCTTACTGCATTAGGAGAAACCTTGGTTCACCTTGTCCTTGGTGTGCAGCCATTCCAGGCATTTACTTTATTCTCGGATGTTTCAGACACGTTATGGAATAACACAAGTTTCTTTTCTACTCTTTCTTCAAAGGAATGTATAGTAAGCTGTGTAAAAATGAAAAAACTATGAAGGCAGTTAAGAGATTTATATCCTGTCAGGTTTGATCCCATTCTGTGGGTGTGGATTTTTTTCTTACTGCAACTATTAACTGAGTAGAAGCAGCAGATGAAAATATCACACACTCTGAAATCCTGCCAGCCATGCGCAGGTCAGGATGTCACCCAGCAAGTTGTTGTCACTAGTAGACAGCCCTCAGCCCACATAACCCAATTCCCCTTCATGCTGCAGGGGCAGGCAC